CTCACATCCGACGCCAATCGTCTATCCCAAACTTCGATCATGTAGAATAGCATCATTGTTAGTAAAAGTGATAGAACAATTAAGGGAACGAGTTAAATGACTGACTGACAGTAGATTAAATGGGAAATTAGGTACATATAGGACAGAAGTAACAAAGAGAGATGGTAGAATTTGAACAGTACCGATCCCTTGGGATCGGGTTTGAGAACCATTTGCGGCAGTTATACTCGGTAAGAAACTAGAGGAAGAAAGGGAAGAGAAAATATTTTTATTACCGGTAACATGATCAGACGCACCAAAGTCGAGGACCCAAGGACCAAGAGGGTATGATTGAGAGACGCAAATAAATGAATTACCAGTGTGTGCAATCGAAATCGTGGAACCAGAGGTCTGGTTAGTCTGACACCACCTGAGAAAATCCTCGTAGCTTGGCGTAGGGTTCTGAAGAGAATGTGAAGTCTGTATAATGTTTGGGTTATCAATTTGAGTTGAATTTACCTGCCGTGGAGGTCTGCCATGCAACTTCCAGTAACGATTGATAGTATGTCCAAGCCGGTTACAATGGTCACACTTAGGACGAGGTTTGGAGTTGGATGACCCTCCTCGAAGGTGATTCTAATTATTGCCAAGAGATGCAAGAGCAGCAGTGTCACCTGGTGTTGGAATAACAATAGATGAAGGAGAAATCGGACCAAACGCATGAGGTGTAGCCAAGCGCAATAATTGTTCACTAATTGTATCATAGTTAGGAACAATAGTACCTGATAAAATCTAGTTACGAACAGATTCAAGTTCTGATGGTAGTCCTTTAAGTGCCATGACCATGAAATATTTACTCTGTTGTTCGGCATGAGCTATTGCATCTTTTGCGTAAGGCATGAGGGTTACGTAACTTGCTTTCAAGGCATCAAGCTTACTCAGATAAGCTTGCACATTCATATTTTCAAACTCCGATGTGTTGAGTTTATGGATGACACTGTATAGAGAACGAACGTCGTTGGAAAAGACTTTCTTGGCCTTTTACCACACCTCATAACAAGTGGAGAATGCTTGGTACTGCGCTTGGAGGTTAAGTGCTATGGAAAACCACAACACAATACACAAAGAGGCATTCGTTTTCTTCCATTTAGCGAGTTTGACAGCTGCAACGTCACTCAATTGGGTGGTTAGATGCTCTTCATATCCTTGACTGTGAAACCACATCTCGACAACACGAGCCCATATGTTATAGTTGGCTGATCCGGTTAGTTTTTTACATGGGATAAGCAAAACCTTAATAAACGAGATAGAATCAGCATCTCCCATGGCTTAAAACACAACAAATGGGGCTGTTTGAACAAGAGTGCGACTTTCTGTGAGTCGAAAATGAAAACCAAGGGAGGGTCTGGAACCGGAGGAGGAAGGCAATATTCTGAGAGAATTTTTTTCCGTGAACAGTAGCGGTGCCGATGAACAGTGGCGACGGTGAACAGTGACAGCGACAGTGAACAGTAGTCCTCCGGAAAAAAAATTCGTGGGCTGTGCTTGGCGGAGGTCGCTGGATTTTTTTTTAAACGTGAGGCAAACCGGAATGATGACACGGTTTGCAGAAGAAAATTTCTCATCGAGAGACAGTGGGTCAACCGGGTAAAGCACAGCGAAGAATTGTCTCTTAGAAGACTCTAGATACCATATTGAATTAGGAGAGACTAAGATACATTTAGGTTAAACCGTGTGTTATGAAAGCACTACGGAGACTTTATTATATATAGAAAGATTACAACTAATTACACTATATAATCGATGTGAGACTATTCTACATACAAAAATTCTTAACATTATATATTTACAAATATCGATAGTATTTTTTTATGTAATCTTTTTGTGTAATCATATTGTGTAAATAAAAAGTCGAATTTTCGTGATCCTATATCGTTTACGTAACGTCTCGCATTTAAAATAAAAAACGCAAAAAATCGCTTCCACATTGCACTAAGGCGTCATCTCACTTGGCTTAGGGCACACATTTAACACCTAGGCGCCAAGTGAGATGACGTCTCCCCTTTAAAATAAGGTGTAGGCGTCAATTGAGATGGCTTCTCATTTGTGAGATTTTCTGAAACATGATTATTTGCGTAATTTTCTCTGAAACATGATTATTTGCGATTTTTTTTTCAATACCTGATTATTGAAAAAAAAAAATTCTCAACTTTGAACAACAATATAACAACTAAATTTTTTTATTACCTTCATTGTATTTATAAATTTATAAGAATTATACAATATTTCTAATTTTTTATGACACAAATTTCATATCAAAAGAATATTTTTAGCATAAGATATTATCGTTAAAAAGTAATTAATTAAATCAACTATTATAATATCACGTTTAAAACTCATAACATTTTTTATTATTATGATAGAGGTTGATTTTGATTTTTTTATTTAAATAATAGAGTTGTTTTTTTATTATCTTTTAAATAGTCTTCATGGTTTTTTTTAACAAATTATGAGTACTAGTTTTTGAATGTTAAAATATTTTATATATAATATATTTACCATTGACCGTGAACAAAAAACATAAGTGGAATACGAATAAATGTGGTAGTGTATAAGTATTTTTAAAGAAAAAATAACCTAATAAAATGATAAATGATAGCAATCTTTAAAACTTTAAATTTAATTTAATTTTAAAGGACATAACACACTTTTACAAATTATCCACTTCTTTTGAATTAACTCCCTTTATATTATCTTGTGTATTCCTTTATTTAGAGATCTCATCCCAAAATTCTCTCCCAAAGTCTAAGGCATAGCAAAAAAAGGAAAACAACAAACAAACACCACAAATGCCACCTACTTTCCTAAGGATCATTATTACACCTTCCTTTCTTTACATTACAACCTTGTACTTTTCATTTCTCATTTGGTTTCTCTTGTATTGTCTTGTCCCAAACATCAAGCTGAAACCCCTCCTCCTCCTCCTCTAATCAAATCATAAAAACTCTTCCTCCACATTGTTCTTCAATTCAACAAATATAACAACCAACCTCAATAAATAAATAAAACATGGATCCGACCGAGTTAAAACGTGTATTCCAAATGTTCGACAAAAACGGGGACGGTAGAATAACAAAAAAAGAACTAACAGAATCGTTGGAGAATTTAGGAATCTTCATACCCGACAAAGAGTTAACACAAATGATCGAGAAGATTGATGTCAATGGAGACGGTTGTGTAGATTTAGATGAGTTCGGAGAATTGTATCAATCCATCATGGACGAACGCGACGAAGAGGAAGATATGAGAGAGGCTTTCAATGTATTTGATCAAAACGGCGACGGTTTTATAACGGTTGAGGAGCTAAGAGTGGTTTTGTCATCTCTTGGTCTTAAACAAGGAAGAACCGTTGAGGAATGTAAGAAGATGATCATGAAGGTGGATGTTGATGGTGATGGTATGGTTAATTACAAAGAGTTTAAGCAAATGATGAAAGGAGGAGGATTCAGTGCTCTTGGATAATTCTAAAAATTCATTCATTACCTGTTTAGCCTAGCCTAGCTATATATATTTATGTATTTATATAAATGCAATGTATGGTAAGGAATGCATGCATGCATGCATGCATTTCATCACCAACATTTTGGTTATTCAATTCATTCAATTTGCATCTTTTGTGTATAAGATGAGATTTGTGTTTTTTGTTTTGTTTGAGTCAGGGACAAGATAGAGAGGGGTGTTTTTTTTTATTTTTAATTTTACTTTGTTAGGCTTGGTTAATTATTTGATAATTTTATTTCAATTTTTAGTTCTTCATTTATTGTTGTTTTGGTGTCATGTACACTATTTTGGAATTTGGATCCGGACACGTAATTTGAGCCGTCAAATCAAGATGATATGATTTGTTCTGATTTCGACAAATTTAAGTTAAAAAACAAAAAAAAAAATATACGATTTGTCTGATCTTAATAAAAAAAATCCAGATTAACAATTGTGATATTTTATAAAAGAGATTAGATAGATGGAAGTTTGGATTCGGATGGCACAACATTCTCAAATAGTCTCATTCCATACAAAAAATAGAATGTCAATAGTATTAGTAACTTTGAAACTTTACAAACCTTCAAGAAAAGTTGAAAATTTAAAGAGAGAAGCTCTGCCCTATCTAAAATTAGGTTTTTTTTCCGTATGGTTGGTCTTTCCATCGTTATCAGAGCTCTCCTTCAACATGGAGGTTGTCCTCTCCTCAATAGAGTTTTCTCTCCCATTGTGAGTTTTTCTTCTTTCCTTTCGTTCCTTTGAACCGTCCATCTCTATTGGATCCTTGCAATATTCTACTTCCAACCTCTATCATGTTTTCTTTCCTCTCCGCTAACAACCACCAAGTGCTCACAACTCCAAACCCGTCTTCACCATCCAATGATCCAAAGTGGTACGGACATGAAAAACGACCTCCGCCCCTAGAAGATAGAATGTTCTAAGATATTGTGTTTGTGTATCTGTTCTAGTTATTGTTATTTTGTTTTCTTGTATGGTTCAGTTGCATGTGTTATTCTTATGTTTAATGTATTTTAAATTTCTACTCATGGTGTCTGATGAAATGTCCCAAAGATGTCTGGATGAAAGAAAAATATTTATGAAGTGAGAATTTAACAGTGGTTGTTGAAAATCAAACTCTATTTTCCACTCAACAATCAACCTCGAAAACATGTATAATCAAACAATGTGTCACAAAGCTAAAGAAATGATCCATAACTTACAATTGTTTGCAGCAACTTCATATGAATGGACTCAAATGACCTATATTCTATACATTTGATTTGATTGAACTAGTTTCTTCAACTAAACCAAAATATGACAGCATACAATAAATACCGCACCGACCGATACTAAAAGCAGATACCTATGTCAGCAGTAATTATCAGATATTATTGCACACCTCGTCTTGGAGCCACTTTGGAAACTGACAGTAGATTTGAATATTATTAATAAGTAAAAAACTAGATAATTGAAAGGTGAACCTATGAATGATTGTGTTCTTCTTCTTTAGGTTCCATCTGCTTCACACTGTCTACTATGTGCTGTATTTTCTTTGAAAGGCTCACATTGTGCTCCTCGATATAATCAAATATCACTTCAAGTTGTCTTTTATAAGTCACCGATCGCTTTTTCTCGATTGCCAATTGTTGAGATAGTTCGCGGATTTTATCGTGTTCGTTCTGAGACTGACATGAAACAAAAGAGGTTGTAAGTAAGGGAGAAATGAAACTGTTAAGAGTGCATGAAAAAGTATAGGAACTGACCGGATATTGTTCAAACATGCAATCCCTTCTACCACTTCCAGGATTCAATGGATGAGTGTGCTCCTTAACAAATTTCGTAACAACCCATTTACCAGAACCAACTTTCCTCACCATAATCATTGCCCTGCAACCAACCCTTGTCTCTGCCCTTTGCCTAACGATCTTTTCGCGTTTGTCCGGCATTCTGTAACCCTCTTTGTTGCAAACAAGAGCGCGTCCAATAGCAGTTCCGTCACGCCTTGACCGTGAAAGTTTGCTTACACGAATGATGAATCCAACCTCGGCTGCGTATGCATTATAAAATGCATGTGCAGCTGCTTCCGACTCAAACTCCTGACCTACATAGGGCTCGTCAGCAGAAGCGACCGATAATGGGAGAACTTCTTCTGAGGGTATTGTTAACGCTCCGGAGAAATCGTGAGTCATGTTACCGTCTTGGTCTTGTTTGTAAGTTGGTTCGGCCGAACTTTCTTCTTCTCTGTTTTCATCAGGTATGCTATCCACTTCAACCATGGCAGCTTCTCTTAATGTATCGTCAGTAACAGAATCATCAATCCCTAACTCCACTGCAAGAATAAAAGATCTCCTATAAGATTTTCAGTATTCAGGACATATATTCTACAAAAGTATCTACAAATTTGATCGAAAACATTTAGAAGCCTGGATACTTAATATGATACGGATACAACACGAAACGGATAAGGGTATTTTTTAAACTCAAGATGTGACATGGCCAATATACGTTAACAAAAGTCACAATCAATGACATGTCGAATCTGAAGTGAATGACAATTGTATCTTTAGTTGGTAAGCCGTATTGAAGATGCATTGAATTTTTTTAAAAGTAATAAAACAAATTATAATATACTTTTTTGGGAGTGTATCGAGAAGTATCGGGTAGTGTCGGACACCGATACCTTTCCATTTTTGAAATCTATGTAATCAGTGGTGGGATAGCGGAAAGCGGCGTGGCTGCTAAGTCACAAGTCAAGGGAAACGATGCAAGAAGCTCACCATACCCATACACATAGAAGCAAAAAAAAAAACAGAAGAATCAACAACGTTAAACACATATTCATAACTAATAATCAAGGTTCATTGCTATCAATACTCAAATCCAATATAATGCTCACAAGGCAGAATGGCCTCGAAGTTTATAATAACTCGTCTAAATATTTAAAAGAAATACAAGTGATCCATTCTTTTATTGGTGGTGCAGCAGAAGCTGCTCAAAAACACAATACAATGTCGTTTTGTTTAGCAATCACATGCCGCCAAAACTCATTCTATTTTAAATTTTAAAAAAATTTACTATTAGAGGGGATTACAATGAGTACAACACGGTTTACAAATAAGTTTCGAAAAGAAAACAAAGACAGTAGAACTCACAACACAACTCCCTATAACAAATAAAACAAAGGCATTGAATCATCAATTATTTGTCAAATACAATCCTCAACGACCAACATAGATCACAATGAAAAAAATACAATACAAATTCAGGAAGAGTATAACCAAACAAGCTACTATAAAACCATTAGGAAGAACTTATTTATAGCTCATCAAGGCTTATCTCATGAAAGGGACTAAAAAAACAGCTTATGATTTCTTTTAAGATTATTTCTCCAAGATAGCTTATGAAAACTAGTTACGTCGAGTTTATACTCTCCCCTTTTCGATTCCCATTCATACCAGATTCTATTTTACAGTAAAACAAAAGTTGAGAACACAACTTTCCAGTATGCATATCCAAATGCCAAGGTACTCAGAAAACTTCACTAACAGAACAAAACAAAACAAAACATCTAACATGGATAATATGTATAGTATATTATTATCAAATATCAAAAACATGACATGCACATTTTAATCATAAAAACATGTGATAGTGTCATACACCAAAACCAGGCTTCAATTTTGAGTTGATTTCTCTATAACCTTTGAAATACCATAGAAACATAAACAAAGAAGATTCAATATGTTCCAATTCAGCTACTTATACAAAGTTATCCCTCAAATCACATGAAAAACAAAAACCCTAAAATCCAACAGAATCAAAATCATCAATAGAATTTCCACAAAATACAACAATCAAACAATAAAAATACACTCACTCAGAAAATCGATGATCGTGAAATCGGAAGCTAGAAATTATGATTCTCTACGATGAGTGTTGCTTCAGAGAGAAACACCAGAATACAAAGGAACAGATTTACCTAAGGTAAGGTACATATAGTTCCCAAGTGTCCCTCTTACGTGTCAAAATCCTATCGGTTCTTGTCAATGAAAAAGTCAACATTTTTTTATTAAATGGATCTTAGCCCGTAAGATATAACCCACCCGATCCAATACGGGTGGTGCACCAGAGCAACACCAACACAGTCACACATTCATCGAGTTTTTCTTCATCTCTTACCATGGCAGCTTCTTCGTTGTTCCGCGTTATTCAGAGAGGTTCGTATGCTGCTACCTCGTTTTTGGTCTCTCCCAGGTTCTTTCTCATTCCTCTCATTACAACATGTTTCATTGGTTATTGTTATAGTTAATTTACAAGTTAAAAATCAAATTTTTATGATTGTTATGAATAATACATTCAATTAGCTAAAATGGGTTATTGAAAGTTGAAGACTTTGAATTTAAATTGTGTTCTAGGTTAGTTGGGAGGGGTCAATTATACTCTATTGGTTCTCCATTGAGGGGTTGTGTGCCTTTTGAGAAGAAAGGTTATTGGTGGAGTTTGAGGGAGTTGAGTTATGGGAAGGTTAATCTTGTGATAAGAGATGGGAAGACAAAGTTTGAGACTCATGAGGTTGAGGCTCCAAGGAAAGATAAGTGGAAGACTAAGAAGAGGTTGAAGATGCAGAGGAAGAGAGAGAAGGAGAAGAGGAAAGCGGCGAATAGGAGAGATCCTCGTCGGCTTGGCGTTAAAGGGAAGAAGAAGAAGCACAAGTTTGCTAGTCCTGAAGAGAGAATCAAGTTCAAGATTGACAATGTAAGTTCCGCCGTTTGGTTTTATGTTATTTTTCTTCGTTGTTACACTGGACACGACACTGATATTATCGATAAGAATTTTTAAAAATGTAAAGTATTTGAAGAGTGTCGGGGTTACATAGGTGCCAACCCTTTTGCAGCATATCGTTCTTCATTTGTTTAACTTTAATGGCTTTTTTGTTTGCCTGTTTTGATATATGTTGATCTCATGAATGATTAAGTGTGTGCTCGATAAGTGCTTGGCAAACGAACTTGAATTTGAAAACTAATTTGTTGACACAAAGTGGTTTGTGTTCTCCAAAAACAAGTTCATGCAAAACTCAAGTGTAAATTTTTTTCAATTTGATGCAAAAGCTACATTTTCTCTCTCTATTGAGTTTTTCAACTTTAATGGCTTTTTTAGAGAAGTTACGTGGAAGTGTTTTTGAAAATTTGAGATGCAGAAGTTAGTTTCAGCTTATACGAGAAGCTCTATTTTAAATAACTCACTAATGTAAAATTCTTGTATTTTTCCCCCTAAAGTGCTTGTTGAGAACATCTTGAAATACTAACTGCCTAGACATTGTACTAAAATTTTGTCTGACTCTGATCTTAACCCCAGGCGAGAGTCAAAGAAGCGTTGCTCATTGAAAGACTCAAACGATATGAAGTTGCTAAAGCTCATGGTCCTGTTGTAAAACCAGACGGGTTGACAGGGGAGGAACGGTTTTATCTGAAGAAAATGGCTCAGAAGAGTTCTAACTATCTACAAGTTGGAAGAAGAGGATTATTTGGAGGGGTTATTCTCAATATGCATATGCATTGGAAGAAACATGAGACTGTTAAATGCATATGCAAGCCTTGTAAACCTGGTCAAGTACATGAGTATGCACAAGAACTTGCCAGATTGAGTGGCGGTATTCCAATTCACATAATTGGTGATGACACGATAATATTTTATCGAGGAAAGAACTATATACAACCTGAGGTTATGTCACCGGTAGATACATTGTCCAAGAAAAAGGTGTGTTTTTGTGCTTTTCAATATGAATCTCATCATTAGTTAGGTTTTTTGTATCATATCATTTAAGAAGAATTAGAAATACTACTTGACTTTTTCGACATTGTTAAATAACAGTTATAATAGCGCATGCGTACCAAATTTGAAATTTATCTGCGATTGAAAATGCAGATTTTTGGAGGGACATGTTTTTTCAATGATTTATGAGTGACTAACTTTCTTTTCAATTCTCCTTTTTCTTTTACTGCAGGCACTTGAAAAGTCAAAGTATGAGCAATCACTTGAGTCAGTGAGACGCTTCATTGCTATTGCGGAGAAAGAATTGGAGCTATATCACAGACACGTTGCACTTTATGGTGACCCTAGCAACCGCAATCCCTTATCTATACTCGACGGTCCAAGTGGAAGCTTCAACGAAAAGAGGAATCGTGATGAAAAGAATCTTGACTCGAGTAGCTATTATCTTTCAGAAACAGAAGCAGATTCCTCACAGACGGAGCTATCAGAATCCGAATATAACTTTGAAAATGGAAACTTGTCAACGAGTGAATCAGATTCTGAAGAAGAAGAAGAAGACGACACCATGTTGGGTTCAGATGATGATGATGATGAAGAAAGAGAAGTTTATTATACTAAAATGAATGGTCAAAGTGTATGCTCCACCACAGGTTCATCATCAATATCTAAACATACCCATCATTTAAAGAGCTGCATCAAGTAAACTAGACCAAATAGTACATAAAAAAAAATGCCTTGAAAGAAATTGAAAATTTTGTTTATAAAAGGAGAATTTCTTGAGCATTATAGTCTGTTGATTAGATGCAAGTTCCTTAATAGCCGAAGTGCTTTTCAGGGTGGAAAAAAGTTTCTTCCGATTCATGATGAGGACATGCATGGCCCTTGTTTGTTTGTTTGTGTTTGCTTGGGATATAATCTAAGATAAGTGTTAAGAGTATTGAAATAGCTTAAAGTAGAATAAAACTTCAAAATGATTCTAATTCCAAATGCAAGCAATGGTCTATAATATAATCGATTTGTGGGGAATGGATGAAATTGATACCTAAGCTAATTTTTTGATACTGCAGTTAATGATATTACATTACATGTTAACTTAAAAATGACACCAAAAATCATTAACGGTAACTCTTGTAGAAGTTAACTCCATTGTAATTGTAGGCAGCAAACAAATTGTCCATTTTGAAAGAGAAATATTATTTTGACACCGTTTATGAATACGGTTGTTTTTGGATTTTAAAATATTTGTCACCGAAGAAATTATTAGGTTGAGTCACGGATTAGGTCGTTCTCTTTAAGACGTTTCGCGACACTGCTCAAAATTATGCAAAGCAAACTACCGCGTTGCCTCCAGGATAAAACAGTCCAGGTCTAGAATTACACCCTCTGATAGTACAAGACCATTCAAATATGGTATCATCACCACTCGTAGTATCTGATACAAAGACTAGTCATAATAATTTCTCAAAAAAAAGAAACTCAAATAATTCTCCAAAGAGAAATTAATAATGATCATTTGACCACTCATAATAATTTCTCCATCAAAGAGAAATTCAAATAATTCTCCAAAGAGAATCCAAAAGATTAAACTTGAAAATTTTTCAACTCAAATGAGGAGAAATTAACATAATTCTCTAAAGAGAATTCAAGAAAATACTCGGAAAATTCAACTAGTAGGAAGAAAGAGGAAGAAGATGGCGCTTCGACAATTCGAGAGACGTAGAGTTATGAGAGTGAGGAAGGAAAAACTAATAGAATAGTTTTTGGTGTGATTTGGAATCAAATATGTGCACTCTTTATATAGTGAAGTAAGGTAGTTAATATTTCTCACATGAACAATGTGAGACTAAATGATTTTTTTCAACCAAAAAGATATTCTAACAATGTGGGACTTGAGAAATTTTTAAATTCAACATATTGGAACATGAACATGTTCCAATAATCCTCCACTGAATTTAAAAAATTGATTTTAGAAGTAACGTCAAACGTTTCTAAGATTGTGCATAAACAAAGGTGTCTACGACTTGAACCTTTGCATAGCAAGTAGGATTCCAATTCAACAAGAGTGACACAAATGTCTTGAACTCTATCTCAGACATCAAACCTGCACACAACCTTTTCTGAAGGTGTATTCTAATAGCTTGTGCTTTAATGGCTCTGCACATGTATCCTAGTTTAATGAAGGCTCTAGGAATTCTGCCTCGAAATTCCATAGGAGCCGGCCTAAGTTCCACAATCATATAGGTGAGTCTATCAAGAGTACTCTTGTAGTCTAGGTACTCCCTCATACAGAGTATAGATCTCATTAAGAGTTTCTATTATCTCATCCTCTTATTACTTCAGGATTCATGCTTTACTTGCATGATCATCTCATTACTCACAACTTGTTATTACCCATTGAACTTATTTCTTGGGATCTCCAATCATTTAGGTCAGGTTACCATCATGAGCAACTCATTTTCCTATAGGCATTAGTCCCATCTTATATGATGTATTATAGACTTTCTCTCTAGCTAATCCTTTCATCAGTGCGTACATGATCCACTCTTACAGCTCCTTTAGAGATACAATCTCTAACAGTGTTGTGCTTTCTTCTTATTTGACGTCTTTTACCATTATAATAACGGTTCCCAATTTTTGCAATAGCCGAGGTACTATCGCAGTGGATCAACACAACTGACATATGTTTTTCCCATAAGGGAATCTCAGTTAGCAAGCATCTTAACCAACTTGCTTCTTCACTAGCAGTCGCTAATGCTATATTCTCAGGATAGTATGTTTCTTTGATTTCCAAGATACAACTCATCTAGCTATGTTGAATACATAGCCACTAGTTTCTTTGGAATCATCTGATAAGGTATTCCAATCTGCATCATTGTATCCTTCAGGTACAATAGGAAATCTCTGATAATGTAAACCGAGATTCATGGTCCTTTTAAGGTACCGTATGACTCGCTCAATAGCTTGCCAATGTTCATTACTCGGTCTACTAGTAAACCCGCACAACAATCCCACGATGTGATACGGTGGGAGAACTGACTATTGTTTTGCGTTCGTATTCGCACTTGTGCGATTAGCAAGAGTCGCCACCGATTTTTTACTTTATCCTAAAGGAAAGGTTAAAAAAGCACAGCAAAAACCTTTTGAGATATTTCGTGGGTTCGGGGGGTAGATTATGAAAAGGGAAGGTATTAGCACCCTTTTCATCCATGGTTATCCATGGGCTCTTAGTTACTTGGTTTTTTAGATCACTTGCCTTGTTTTTCGATTGCTTTGAAAAATGGTGTGTGTGTGGGTGCTTTTTGAAAATGTTTTGGAAAAAGATGCCTTGTCTTAGGCAACTAATGTATTTGACTCGTGTTTGAGTGTTTTACAAAAGTGTGAATCTTTTCGAAAAGATGTTTTCAAACGTTTTTGAGGGTTTGTTTGAAAGTGTTGTGGATTGTGATTTTTGAAAATGAGGCAAGTGTTTTTGCAAGTTTGATCTCAAGTAACTAAGAGTTTTGTCTACCCTATTGTACTCAAAGGTTTTTGTCATGTTTTAACCCCTTTTAACAATTTTGTTCTACCATTGAAATTGGTAGACAATCTTGCGTTTAGGAAATTTATTCGGGACGGGCGCGGGTCATCGTATGGACCATGAATGCAATGATGCCAAGTGTCTTTGGCAATTTGTTTTGAAGGGACTATGATCATTCCGTTTAGGCAACACTTTGAGGGACTTATGATCATTTGATTGTTTTGCCAAAGATACTCGACGTGCAAGCATGGCCCATTTTGGAAGGCATCATGTGGGATTACCTTAGAGGGTGCAAGTGTGATTGTGTATTGATTACATGCATTTGCTTTGTATTAGATTATCTAACGTTTGATTTTATGTACATACAAACCCTAGGTCTAAACATGGTATAATTGGAAAACTGTAAATTGCGGAATGTAAATCTACGCTATTACAAAATAGTGTCAGGGAGTGGGGATATAAATGTATAAGGGGATGAGACTTATAGTATTTACAACCAAATCGAATGTCACAATCAAAATATAAATATCGAATGTACAAATATAAGATAAAATGTGTATAGGGCAATATATTGTGTAAGTGCAAATGTGAGATGTATATGTATATGAATTGTGTAATTATGTACAAGTGCGAGATGGAATTGAAGCGTATTAGGGTTTGACCTAGATATATGTTTTAATCTTGTATTTTTGATTTACATGTTAATTATATACAAAAGAGTTCAAATTTTTAAATTAAGAATATTTCTTTATTTGCAAAAAAAAGTATTGTGATTAAATGTTAAGTTTTAATAAATAAAAAGTATTTTAGTCAAATGTTTGTGAATTTCAATATTGAAAGATGTATTGAATTATTATGTACAAAAAGAATGCTAACTAAAAAAGGAGTTTAATTTTAATTATGTATGAAAAATGTATAATATGTACAAATTTAATGTTTTAAAAAATGTATGTACAAGAAGTATTAAATTATGTCCAAAATTAAATTATGTGTGTTAAGAAAGGTATTTTATTTTTATGTACAAATATACTTAAAAAAGGATATTTTAACTTATATGATAGAAAATGCATTTTAATTAAATTAGTATTTTACAAAGAATAAAAAAAACATTATTTATAGAATAAAGTTAGTAAAAGAAATAAATATTGTTTATGAAAATAAATTAAAAAAAAAAGGTTAGTGTTAAGAAAAAGAAGTAAATATAAAATAAAGAAAAGAAAGGGTTAGTGTTTGTTAGAAGAAGTTAGTGATACTGTTGGGCTTAGAGGAATTAGGAACGGGTTAAGCCCATGTCAAACAAAGGCGAAATTAGGGTTAGGCATTTGCTATTCGGAACGAGTGTTAGGGCTTGACAGCGGCGCCGTGCGTTGAGTTCATCTTCTCCGATTATCAATTTCCTGAGCCATCCATCCCTCCGGCCACCAACATCACTCTCGAACCTCTCTTCCCTCCCTAGCACGGTCTCCACATCTTCTTGAAACAAGGTTGGTTCTTAGTTGTTATGTTTTCCTCTTCTTTTCTGGATTCGCGTGGAATTTGTTCTGAGCTCTTTATTTTTCGTTTTTTTATGAGGTGAAGGGGGAGATATAGCAAGTTCGTTACCTGATTTTTTTGGAGATGGAGGAGAGAAGAGGGGTGACGTTGAGGAGGCCGGAGCGGCGTTTCTGTGACGAAGCTAGATGCTTGCTTTTGATGCCTTCCTGGTAACTTCGTTCTTTGCTATATTTAGGGCTTTGATGATGATGCTAGATTTGCCTGAAAACCCTTCTTAAAAACTCACTTTTTTTTTATCTTCTTCTTCCACTGTGATGCCTTTATATGGTTGCCTGAATATTTGCTTCTGAGTGATTTCTGAATGCTTGAGTATTGTTCCACTTTCGTTTTTCTGATTTGCCTATGTGTGCTTACCTAGAACTGTTGCCTCAAATGTTTCTTGTTGTTGCCTGAGATGATTTGCTGAATGGTTGCCTTGAGATGCCCAGTGATGATCTCAGATCTGAGGGGCCTATGTTGCCTTGGACACTTTGTTTTCCTCTGAGTCCCTGATGCCTTGAATGATTATTGAGGCTTGAGTTTGCAAGGGTTTCATCTGGTTTATGTGGTTATGACAGTAAATTTTTTTCTGCATTTTTTGGTTTAAAGCTTGGTGCTTGAGGCTTTAGACAGGATGATGGGCAGATTAAGGC